AAAAAAAAAAAAAAAAAAAAAAAAAAACAGTGGTCACCAGGCTGAAATAACGATTGAATATTATCACCAGTTTTGTCCCTTTATTGCAATAAACCAGATTTGCAGGAACAGAAGCACCTCTCAATAGCCTTTAATCGGTTAAAAAAGACAATGCAATATAAAGAAATCTTTCCAAAAATTTGCCACCATTGGAGTATCTTCCATCTCCTGTAAAAAAACTACGCATGTAGTAAATCTTAAATTCAATCCTCTGCCGTCTGCATACAAAAAGTTCACTTCATGAAGTCAATAAGCGAGTTACAATGAGCATTTAAAGTGCGTACACTAAATTTCTTGAAAATTGATTGTTTGTTTACTTCGTAAACAATCATTTCTGCAAATTCCAGTAACCTTGTGCCGCAAATCAATAACTTCAAAAGTGAGCAACAGATGCCAAAAACGAAAAATCCTCTAAATGATTGGTCAAATTTTTGAGCTTTAAAATGGTTTTGAAAGTTGCGGTGAATTGTTAGAATGTTGTAATAAGACTAAACAGTGCAGTTCCCAAAACTGTCCTTTTCAGTAAAAATTTAACTAATAGTAAATCGTTCCTCGCGTGGAAAAACTAAAGGCAAATACAGAAATCAGTATGGGGCCACCCGGTGCCGGAGAGGACAGAGGTAGCCTGGCAGAAGGTATGACAAAAAAGTGTTCTTTCAAAATTGAGCGATGAGTGTAATTTGCGACAGACTGTCCGTATTGTGTAATCTGTTTAAGCCTGATTCGCAGGCTTCAGGTTCCTCCTAATTGGGTTACCAGTTTGTTAGATAAGTAAAGAGGGCAGAGGATACCTGTGTAATCTTTTGGTATACTTTTGAACCTGGAATTGGTTAATATACAGGCAAAATTGGCAGGCAAAATTCTGATACCGACAGAGAATGAATAGTTCACTGAAGCAGCCCTTGTTTGGGGAGGATCTCACTGTTTTTCCTTTCCTTGGCTTGCTAATTACATAAAAGCTACATTTTAATCGAACATCGGAAAAACTTAAAATTTCGATTCTTACGGAACTTGATTATTTGTGTGATAGGAATGCATGAAAAAAATATAAGAAGCAGAGAACAGTGCCAAGACTTCTTACTTTGTCCAATAACGCTTTTGCTTAACTACTGCAACCTGCTTTTCTTCCAGCCCACTAGCCGACCACATCTGCCCTTTGACATTCTGCTCCAACTCTTCTTAATTACTTTTCTGCATGGCTTTAAACATTTTCCGGTTTTTTTCTGTTACAAATATGCAACTTCTTCTAAAACATCTTTAACAAACACAGTAGCAATAGTTTGAACTCTGTTGCGATCGCTCAAAAAGGCCGATTAACTTCCATTTAGCTGATTTTAGCGGTTGGAAGTGTGCTATGGGTCATAATTCTACCCCAGAATTCAGTGTGCAAAAGATCTTTTGCTGCATGCGGCAGAAGAATGGAACTTTAAAATAATGATAGACTTCTATGTATCTAGGATTTCCTTGATCTGCAAATAATTAAGCCCTAAGTCGTACCAATTCATAACTTTCCGAACCGTAACTGATTGTTGTCTGCAGAACTTTACGGCTTTATCAACGCAGTTATAATTGAACTTCTCATCTATTCTTCTCTTGACCGAAAACTTATGATTGCTATTCCTCAAAGTAATCCAATATTCATCAGTGAAAACTAGTTCTAGTCAGCACCTGTTTACTTAATTATTACCTAATGTCTGGAAAGCAGAATCCTTCCTAAGCCTAAACCGTAGCACGATAGAAAAAACGAGATGATAGACAACATCATCAACAGAAAGAAGATTAACGATAGTAGACAGTAAATAACAAAAGTATTTTTCATTGGCTTTATCATTCGACGAATACAAACAAAATTTACCAATCCCGCTTGGATTAGCCAAACTGAAATAGTCATCCGACCAACTGAATGCATTAATCTTCTTTCGTTAAACGAAAAAAGTATGCCAGCCCATTTCAGAGACAACTCAATCTTCTGTTAATTATTTAAAACCTGAGAGTTAGCCAAAATAATCTTGACTTCTCTTCACCGAGAACCTTCTGATAATACTTAAAATTTGCGACTGTGATTATACGGTTTGAAAAACTTATGTCTAACACTAGTTTTAACACTTCCAATCTCCACTCTAAAATTATTTGTCCTCAATTTGTAAATTTACTAACCCAAGGTAAAGAAGTCCTTCAAATTACAGTTTACAGTACTACAGAACATTTCGCAGATAAAACAACATGAGTTTTCAATAAAACAAAGCTAAACTAAATCAAGATCTGTTTCTATTTATTTATTCGTTTCTTTTTTTCTGTGATAGCGCCTTTGTTAAGAACTCCTGAATTTTATCCAGCTTATGTACATTGCCTCTGCTGTACAAAATGTTGTAAAGTACTGACACAAATTCAATAATACGCAAAATTAAGCGCTGTCTTAAAGAAAATAACAAAATTAGCTTCCATAAAATAAAAATTCAGATAATGTAATTTACAATACACGGCGTCCTACAAATTATCAGCAGACAATCTTGCGTGAAAGAAAAACTGTCACCGTTTGAAATACCAGAATTACAAACAGCTCGAACTTTATCTAAAAGACACCTACTTGTTTAATAGTGGACTCTAATTTTGAAACCTAAAGTCTGAAAGAAGTTAAAAACAGCTCTCCATTCAAAGTGATTCCTGACGAATTGCAACCAAAGTTCCAGTCTTTGAAACGAAAAATTTCTTTAGCGCAACCCAGTCTTATAAGCTAAACTCGTTTAGACGTTTTTGTACAGTCTCAACAAAAATAATTTTACCCTCCTGAACAGCATTTTTTCGCTGTATGAATCTGTACTTTAGTTGCAGGTACTTAAACAGAATGACTCCCACCAGTGAGAACGCCGCAAAATGATACAGAAACTAAGACCACAATTTCTTGACCAGTAAATACTATGTGTTCAAAAAAACTCACGATTGACTCTTGATAAATACTTATGATGCGGCGATGAAATATTTATACGAAGGTAACAGAAGTCTAGAAAAGAAAATGCAGATGCAGAATCACAAATTTCAAAGTTGCTTTGAAATTGACCAAAGTTTAATAAGAAACCTGGAGCCTTTGTAAGTTAAAACTTTTCAGTAGGCAGCCTTTTTCGGTTTATTATTGTTAAACAGAGGAGTGAAACCGAAAGGAGAACCGTTCATTTCCGTAGGTAAAGTTTCCAACGAAATACTGTCAAAACGCAACTTTTTTTATCTAAAAAGAATAAAGATAATTACCCCCTCCCCCCCATATGATTAAATGGGGTCAATGTTGCTAAAATCATGGCTGTCACTGTAATGCGGACATGCACGTGTCTCATTTCTAAAAGCCACACAAAAACTGCTGATGGCCAGAGACCGCAATAAAAAGAATTACGGAAATTAGAATTTTCAGGGGTGCTAGCAAATATTAGGTCTAAAAAAGCAAAAACGTACAAAAATTAGTAAGCAGTTAAGTTCCCATTTCTACGCTTATCTGTTAAAAGAATACAAAAGGAAGCTCTATAATGTCGCCAAGCAAGAAATATAAAGTGATTTCAAGTAACCGTGAAACAAGCTTTCTAAGAAGCATGATGACTCATTCTTCATAACCCAACGCGGCTTTCGCAAGTTTTTCATCCAGTAACTGATAATGACAGCATGAACTTCTTTTCTGATTGATTATTTTTTATCTTCAGGTGCATATATGATGCACAGGTCCCCGACTCAAAGATCATACGTGGTCAACATGTGTGTGAAAAA